TTGGCTCCAGCCCCGCGGGGTCCCCCCAGGATGGCCCCTTGCAGCCTTTGCCCAGCACACAACAGCAGATGCCACCTGTGTTCACTGTCACTGTTTGGCCACCATTTTGCAAGTGCTTCCTGTGTACCCAGTGCCATGCTCCTAAATGCTCCACGTGAAGCTGGACTCTCACCCCAGCCCCCGGGGTGGCCACCAGTCCTGGGAGGACAAGGTAGTTCTCAGGGCTAAGGGCCAGCCCTGGAAAACTGCTCCACACCTGGCCTCCCAGTGCGGGCAGTTTGACCATCAGGGCAGTAGGATGGGAAGCATCTCCACAGGCTGGGTGACGGCTGGCCCCCAGGTCTTCATCTGTCTGTCCAGCTGTCAGATTGACTTGTCTCTTTGAGTTTGAGTTTGCTCATTTCCTGCTGTTCCCACGAGGGGCATGGGATCTGGTAAGAGGCATCCTTCTTTGTCTCTCTGATCCAAGCCCAGCTTGTATGCCTATGCTCTTCTTGCTGGGGATACAGCAATCTGGGCTACCTCCCCAAAGGGCCCAGTCCACAGCCCCTGGTCTCCAGGCACCCCCTGGAACCAGTGTCCTTCTGGGGAGCAGCCTCATGGGAGCCCTGACTCAGGGGGATCCTCCGGCTAGAAGGCACCTGTGGGTGCCGCAGGCTCAGACAGTTCTACCGCCTGCATGGCCCCAGGTCCTCACACTCATCTGTGGGGTCCTCCAGGACCCTGTGTGGTGGAGGGCACCCGAGCAGACGGCCCCCAACCCCTCCCTGCTTCTGCGGCCGCAGAGACAACATCCCCTGGTCTGAAAGCAGAGCTGGCCATGGGGCTGGGCCCCCTCCTGGTCAGCCAGCTATGCGAGCCACATCAGCCTTGGGATGATACAGAAGATGCCAAATGTCCTGATCTATCTGGGCTGCAGTGACAAAAATACCATGAACTGGGCAGCTGGTAACATGCACTGCTCACAGCTCTGGAGGCCTGCTGTCCAAGAGGAGAGCACCAGCACAGCTGGGTTCTGGGGAGGGCTCTCTCCTGGGGTGTGGACTGCCTACTTCTTGCTGTGCCCTCACATGGTAGAAGGGGCAAGGGAGCTTTCTCAGGCAGCTTTTTATAAGGGCACTAATCTCCTTCAAGAGGGCTCCATCCTCATGACCCAATCGCCTCTCAAAGGCCTCCCTCCTAATACCATCGCTTCGGGAGTCAGGTTTCAACCTATACACTTGGGGGAGTATACCAACATTCAGTCTAGAGCACCAACTATAAACCGAGCTGGGGGGCCGTGGTGACCACAGCAACCCCCACAGCTGGCCTCAGGCAGAAGCCAAAATCCCAGCTGGGCAGAGGGAACGATGGCAGGGAGCATCTGGTCAAGGCTCAAAGTGGCCAGAACCAAGTGCTGGCCAGGGCGCGTCTCTCCCAGGGTTGCAGTGTTGCCATTCTGAGTTGGCCTCAGAGAGGACAGGCTGTGAGTGCTGGGGTTCTGGAGGAGGTCTCCTGTGGGGGATCTGGCTGTGTTTCTAGGCTGTTTCTTCTGCTCCTTGGGCTGGGACAAAGGAAGGCATTTTTGTCCAGGGGTCAGAATAAGCAGGTCAGGCAGATACGCTATTCAGACAAGCATGGGCTGGGCTGTCTCTGCACAGAGGCAGCAGACCAACTGGACCCTAGGGCGGCCCCAGCACTGGGACCCAGCAGAGGACTGAGGGTGAAGGGCAGGGCCCAGTGGGACACCAGGTCCCTGGCCATGCCAATCAGCCCAGTTTTCTCAGGGTTTTGAAAGAGACTGTGGAAAGGAGTGGTCTGTGAGTAGTTAAGAGAAGAGACTGAAAAGTGGAGACAGGAGGGAGAAGACGAAACTTCTGCAGGTTCCCAATGACAGGGCCTTCACATGTAGCCCTTTTATTTGAGGGGGGACACAGGGAACCTCTGCACCTTCTCCACATCTAAGAAAGGGTACTAAAAGGAAAGCACCTGCGGGGACCCCCAGGGGCCAGCATGAAGTGTGAGCAGAGACTGGAACACAGGAAGCCTGGGGCTTCGGCTTGCCAGTCAGATCTGAAGGTCAAAATCAGAATTCGGGTTGGCCTGCACCCCTCTTTTTGCTCATTCTGCTCAGCCACCACCTAGGGGCAAGGAAGATGTGCGGGAGTCTCAACCTTGGCACACCTGGATGTGCCCACATTTAGCGGTGGTGGTACCACACCTGTGAACTCTGGCAGCTGAGTCACCTCCATGGGGCAGGGCTGAGAGCCTCGAGTTGTGCCTAAAAGGGGTGGAGGGGGACCAGAGACTCTCTGGTGAACACAAAAGGCACATAAGCAGGCTAGGTACTGCAGCCAGAAACAAACTCCTGGACTGGAAGGGTGGGGGCTGGACTCCGAGGGCAGGGAGACCAGGAGCTGTCGCTGGCACCTAAGTCCTGCAGGGCGTGGGTCTGATATCCCGGGGAGCCAGTGGGGCAGGGCAGAGTAGCTCGGTGGCAGCTCCCCCAAGGAAGATAGCCATCTCCAGGCTGGGGCCTGGCAGGTGGCAGGTGGGAGCCAGCTCCTAGCACACGCCGGGTTTCCTGATTCCTTAGTCTGGTGAAACTGCTGCGGTTTCTGTCTTGGGAGTCAGAGAGGGAAGGGAGAGGAGCTGGCCTGGGTTCAGTTGTCAGGCTGCTCAGAGAAGGTGCCAGCCATGGCCTGACCTAAAGTCTGGAGCTATGGGGGTTCTGGGGTAAGGGCCAGCCCCAGAAGTCTCTGATGCTGGTCCTCAGCTAGCATGGGCCTGGGGACAGTTCTCCCATGGCCTCCTGGCAAATGGGCTGGTTGCTGAAGCGGTTTGACTTTTTAGGCCCAAATCTGGACAGACTCGACAGACTTCAAAGAACAGCCTGTACTCCAAAGCCAAGTGTATTTGCTGGTACAGCCCATCTGTCTCTACCTTGGCTTCCAACATCAAACATCAAGGGTCCTTCTACCATCCAGAGTCTCTTCCAGCAATGCCCCAACCCAGGTTTGCCCCCAGGAGACAGTCTACAGGCCAGTCACAGATTTCTAGCCAGAGCCACCACAGGCTTAGGGCTCTGGTCTGTGGGTACTCAGGGCTAACAGTGCAGGCCCGGGGCTATGGGAACTCCTGCAGCTGGGAGAGGAGGGGGGTGATGGAGGAGCAGAAACAAAGGAAAGAGAGTAAAGCCCTTCCAGCCACAGGCCCCAGCACCACAGCTCCTAGCCATCCAGGATGCCAATTCACAGGCATGGCCACCCAGTTCCTGTGAAGAGATGCCATTCTTTCTTTTTTTAATGATTTTATTTATTTGTGAAAGAATGAGAGAGACAGAGAACATGAGAGGAAGAAACAGACTCCCTGTTCAGCTAGGAGCCTGATGAGGACTCCATCCTGGGACTCCAGATCATCACCTGAGCCGAAGGCTGTCGCTTAACCAACTGAGTCACCTAGGTGCCCCCAGAGATGCCATTCTGAAATAGCCTGTAAACTCCTCAAGGGTGGTCTCTGACTTGGAATCCTTGGGTCCTCCACTACAGAGTAGCTGGTGAGCCTAATAAGCACTCTCTACCCAGTACCTGGATGGGAGCCCCACCAGCAGGAACTCCCTATAAGCCCCTGCCTGACCGCCTGTGTGAAATGGGGGTTGGGGGGGGTGGGCGCTCGGAGCTGGACAGGGCATGGGCTGGGCTTCCTCTATACCTCCAGCCAAAGCTGGGCTCCCCGCAGCTTTCCCTGGTCCGGCCAGGGAGGGAGGGCAAAGCAGGTGGGGAACTGGTTGGGAGGTGTAACTTGAGCCGGGAGGAATTCCCTGCCCTTCCTCCATGCTTTTATTAAAGTAGGGCGGGGAAGGGCAGGCTTCCATCGGAAAAATCTCCCAGGCTGCCGGGGGAGGTGGGGAAACCGCCAGGGGGCTGGGAGGGAGCACCGGCCCGCTGCAAATAGAAGGTGCTCAGGCTCACAGCCCGGGCTGTGGGAGGCTCCAGGCCGGCCCAAGGGCACGGAGGCCAGGGCCTACCCGGGTCAGCACAGAGGCGTTTCTCCTCCCACCTGCTCACTCCTGCCTAGTGCACCCCTCTCCTACTTCCGGGCAGGGAGTCGGGTCTTAGAACTCTGGACAGCAGGGACCCAGCTTTTGCTGGGGCGAGGGAGCTGGTATCCTCACTGTCCGTGCTCCGGAGGACGGCGCTGGGCGACCCTGTGGAGCCGACGTGTGATGGTGGGGATTCTGGCTGGACTCCACTCTATGCCCAGGAGACCGCGCCTGGTCACTCGCGGGACCCATCCGGAGACGGAGCTCGGGAGGGACGTCAGGCGGGCTCCAGATAAAAGCACGTTCGGAGTCTGCCCTCTCCAACCCAGGCCTCGGCGTAGGGGCTCTAGTGGAAGGAAGCGCCGAGGGGGAGACAGGGTCTCTCTTGGACCCACCTGGCCATGGGGCGGCTTCCACGCAAGAGCCCAAGGAAGTCGCCCAAGCGCCTCCGCAAGCCGAGACTACTGTCTCGGAGGTTCGCACCCCTTCCCCCCTCCCCGCCCGCCACACTCGCAGCTCGCTGTCACCCAGACCAGAGGCTACCGAGGCAGGAGCGCTGCCCGCTCCGCCCGTGGGCCCCCAGGGCCGCCCCCTCCCCACTCGCAGGGAACGTCACGGCGCGCCCGCAGGACTCTCGAGGAATCAGTCGCGCGGGGAGAGGGAAGGAGGGGAGCGAGGGCTGGGGGCAGCAGAAGCGACTCCCGGGACCCGGGCTGGGGCGGATCAGTGCCCGGGGCAGGGCCGTAGGGGTAGAGGGGGTGCGAGTCCTACACTCTCCAGGATTTGGGATGAGGTGCGCTGCAGCGAGCGAGCTGGGGAGGGGCAGCTAGCTTGGCCCCATTCTTCCCCGCCCCCCTTCTCTCGGACCCGGGCTCGTCTCCGCGCCCTCCACCCCTAGCCCCAGGCCGCGGGCGTGGCTCCCTCCCGCAAGCCCCCAAGCCCCCAGCCCGCCGCGGAGGGGCCGGGCGGGCGTCCTTACCTCGGCGTTGACTTCTGCGTCCTCCGCCGCCGCGCCGCGGCCCAGGAAGCCCAGAAGCACCAGGAGCAGCGGCAGCAGTCGCGGCCGCGCCGCCGCCTCCCGGCCGCCGAGGACACTGACCGCCCAGCCCGGCCGTCCGGGCGCGCTCCGGTCGCTGCCCATGCTCTCGGCGCCTCGCCTGGCCGGGCGCGCTGCACGCAGGGCTCGCCCGCTGGCCGGCGCCGGGGCCCCGCACGCGGCTCGGAAACTTGCGACGCTCCCTGGCTCCCCGCCCGGCGGGCGCGCGGCAGACCTCTTGGTCCTTGTCCTCTCCGGAGACGCTTAGGTCCCCTCAGCAAATTCCCACGCCCGAGGAGAAGCCGGCAGGGCAGGTCCGGGCGCGAGGGGCCGGCCCGCGGGGGAGGTGGCCGGCCGGAGCCGCCCGCCGCGGGGTCCCGCAGCCTCGGCGCCCGGCGCCCGGCTCCCGAAAGCTAGCGCAACTCCTGAGCCTTTGTCTGGCTCAGCGCTCCGGCCGCCCGGTCCCGCGGCGCCCCCTGCGCGCCCAGCTCCCTCTGTCCATTCCCGGGGCCGGGTGCTGCCCAGAGCACGCGCCTCCCGCCCGGGGACTCTGCTCGCCCCGCGCCCACCCGGGCCCAGGTCCCCGCGCAGTCCCGGGAGGAGGCGCAGGGAGCCGGTCGGAGCAAGTGAGCGAGCCAGGGAGCCGGCGCCCGACGTCCCCGGCGAGTTCGGCGCAGCTCTGGGCGCTTCCAGCCCTCCTCCTCGCGCGCTGCTCTTAAAGGGCCAGTGCTCACTCCGTGCGCGGGCCCGGGCGGGGGCCGGGGGCGGTACCTCGGCGGGAGGGCTACTCGGTAGCAGGTGCCGGCGGTGGAGTCCAACCAGGCGGCCCTTTGCTCTTTCCAGAAGGAGTGAATCCTTCCCAGCCCGCCCCTGTCACTCCCACGGTGCTTGTGGAGAAGGGTTTGGCACCCCCCCGCCCCGCTTCCTAGCAATCCCCTAGAGAGAGGGAGGGAGCAAGGAGGAAGAAAGACTCTTCATTCTCCCACCTGGCGGGTGTGTAGGGATACTAAGGCAACGGAGGGCAGTAAGGGGGGGGGGGCGCGAGGGCAGAGGGACCCAAGTGTCCTGTCGGGGAAAAAAGCATAAAAATCTAGCGGCTTGTTGGTCCCTGGGCCTTTTCAAAAGCCTCAGGATGCCACTGGTCCTTGAGTGACCCTCCTCGGTTGTGTTTGCAAGAGCACAGGTTTCAGAGGGAGGCAGTTGCACTTTTCGCCTCTTACCTGCCGCCTCCATGTCTTTATGTGGAATGTGGGGCAAAGGGCTGCTGAGGGTTGGGTATGCTTCTGCTGTCTCCACACTTTAGCTGTCCAAGCAGAGCATACTGCTTCATGCAAGTAAAACACAGCAGTTCCACAAGGTGATGGGCCAGTGGGCAAAACTTCCATGGAGCTGAGCTGAAAGTGCTAGGTTTAATCCTACTGCGGGAGCAGGCCATCTGTGTGGATGCAGAGGGCCTGGGGTGGTGAGAGGCCTCCGTCCAAAGTCCACAGAGACTGTGAATCCAGACCAAGGGCAGTTCTGGCCACACAGACTGGCCCCAGCATCACGACGTGAAGACCCCAGGGGTAGGGCAGGAGGGTGGAGACCTTCCCTCTCCTCTGCTACTTCCCAGTACTGGGAATGGGAATTTTCCCTACCTGAGGGTGAGTTTCTCTAGAGTAAGCCCTGGGGTGGCCCAGCCCGCCTCACCTCCCGGAAATGGGCAGAGAGCCACTGAGCTTGGAAATGGCCTGTTGAGAGACCTGGCAGGTAAGGAAAAAGAGCACTGTGAAAGAAAACAGAAGTTAAACTGCCTATGATAGATTTTATTTAAAAAAAAAAACTATTGCAAACAAAAACCTAAAACAACAACAACAAAAAACTATTGCAGTAGGGGAAGACAGATTCCGGTATAGAACTGGACCCAATTCCAAATATGACCTGAACAGGGGGGATTTATAGCCAATAAACAAGTGGAGTGGGAGGTTGGAGGGGTGTTGGGGAAGTTTCTGGCTAAAGATATCACCTGGTGTGTGTGGGGAGGTGTTGTAGGGATGCCTAGCGTGATAAGATCTCAGGCTGGGAAATTCTGAATAAACTGATTTAGCAGGGTTCTTGCTAAACTGGATTCTAGAAGGAAGTACACAGAAGGGCCTCCTTGGGGAGAAGGTTTCAGGGGATCCTGACTAAAGTTTGGTCAAGCAAAGAATCTTTGTCAGTCTCCCCCGCCTTGCTCAAGTGAAGAAAAGAAATTCTTCTTTCCTCTGAACAACGTTAAGTCCATTTCTTAGGTGGTTGCCTTTTAATCATTTAGAACCTTAGTGATAGTAGATAATGGCTGTTCAATACGAGACACAAGACCTTTAATGAGAGGAATACCTTGAAGATAGGTAGATGAACACTGGAGATGGAATCAATATGTGTACCCAACTTCACAGACCTTCAGAGATCTACCAAGGAAGGACCTGTTTTCCTTCCTTGGTGGTGTGAGTTAGAATGGCAGTGAAACATTTCTTCCTTCACCTCTTGAATCTTCCTGGTTATGGCAAAGATGTCCGGTAGAATGTTGGGGTTGAAGATGCACTCCTTACTTCTTCTTCTTTTTTTTTTTTAAGATTTTATTTATTTATTTATTTGACAGGCGGAGATCACAAGTAGGCAGAGAGAGAGAGGAGGAAGCAGGCTCCCCGCTGAGCAGAGAGCCCGATCCGGGGCTCGATCCCACTGGGATCATGACCTGAGCTGAAGGCAGAAGCTTTAACCCACCGAGCCACCCAGGCACCCCACACTTGTTACTTCTGACCACTGGGCAAGTGCCCTCCTTCTGTAACCAGGGTCATATGGAGAATGGCTAGCTGGGTTTCTTGTAGTTAGCCAGTCACTGATTCGAGACCCACAGTGGTATTACCCAGGGACAAGGTGAATGGCTTCGGCAATGAATAGATGATTGATTCTGTTGTGGAATCTAACTTTTTGAGCCAGGTGATAAATTCCTAGGGTTGGTACCTAAAAAGGTGGCAAACTCTCCCCCACCCCCGCAAAGTCAAGAGGTCCTGGATGGACACAGGCCCAGTTTTGTGGCTGTTTTTTCTACCTCACCTTCCCAGGAACGGAGATCACCTATAGGAGGATCTGGGATGTCGTTCTTTTCTTTCTTTCTTTCTTTTAATTTTTAATTTTTTTAAAGTTAAATTTTTTTTAATTTTTAATTTTTTAATTAACATATAATGTATTATTAGCCCCAGGGGTACAGGTCTGTGAATCGCCAGGTTTACACACTTCACAGCACTCACCCTCTCCAATGTCCATACCCCACCACCCTCTCCCTACCCCCTTCCCCCCAGCAACCCTGTTTGTTTTGTGAGATTAAGAGTCTCTTATGGTTTGTCTCCCTCCCATTCTCATCTTGTTTCATTTATTCTTTTCCTACCCCCCAAACGCCCTACATTGCCTCTTAACTTCCTCATATCAGGGAGATCGTATGATAATTGTCCTTCTCTGATTGATTTATTTTGCTAAGCATAATATCCTTTAGTTCCATCCACATCTTCGCAAGTGGCAAGATTTCCTTTCTTTTGGTGGCTGCATAGTATTCCATTGTATATATATATACAATGGGGAATATATATATTCCCCATATACCACATCCTCTTTTTCCATTCATCTGTTGATGGACATCTACGTTCTTTCCATAGTTTGGCTATTGTGGACATTGCTGCTATAAACATGCGGGTGCACGTGCCCCTTCGGCTCACTACATTTGTATCTTTAGGGTAAATACCCAGTAGTGCAATTGCTGGGTCGTAAGGTAGCTCTATTTTCAACTTTTTGAGGAACCTCCATGCTGTTTTCCAGAGTGGCTGCACCAGCTTGCATTCCCACCAACAGTGTAGGAGGGTTCCCCTTTCTCTGCATCCTCACCAGCATCTGTCATTTTCTGACTTGTTAATTTTAGCCATTCTGACTGGTGTGAGGTGGTATCTCATTGTGGTTTTTATTTGATACCTCTTGTTCTTATAGTGAGAGCGAGGTGACCCTGAGGGAGGGCATGGTTGTTTTAGAGAGAATTTATGAATGCAAGAAGATTACAGGAAATAGAGTAAGATAAAGAGATTTTGGGGGCACCTGGGTGACTCAGTGGGTTAAGCCTCTGCCTTCGGCTCAGGTCATGATCTCAGGGTCCTGGGATTGAGCCCCACATCGGGCTCTCTGCTCAGCAGGAACCCTGCTTCCCCCTCTCTCTCTGCCTGCCTCTCTGCCTACTTGTGATCTCTCTCTCTGTCAAATAAATAAATAAAACCTAAAAAAAAAAAAGGAATTCTTAAAAAAAAAAAAGAAGAGATTTGGTAAGTTTGATAGGTAGCAAGGTCCAGTTGGCAAGGAACAGCCAAGAAGCATGGGTTCCCCAAAGTCAGAACCATCGGGAATTAGCCAGGGGGTCATAGAAATAACCATCTGGTGGCTGAGGATAACCAGAGAATGCTAATTTTGAGGAGAGGGAAAGCTATGTCTGGAGGTGGTTTCTGTGTGGTTGGGCTGGGTCTGAGAAAGGAGCTAGGAGGTACCGTGGGGACATTTCCATTCCCATGAGGGATTTCCGGGGAACCCTGTAGTGGCCTGGGGCTTTTATGCCGCATTTAGTGCTGGTTAGGGAAGTGTAATGATAAATGTTCATTCTCAGAAGAGGGCCTGTGGTAAAATCACAAAGGAAAAGACGAGACCCTTGTGAGGATGGACTGGAATGGGTGTGGGGTTTTCTCACGGGGCTAATCACCTGGGTTAAAACGGTGGAGGGCAAGCTGCTTCCCTTCCCTGCTGTACCTTTAGGGTTTTTCCAGGCTTGTGTTTCTGGCCGTTGAGGCCAGGGGCAATCGCTTGGTGCAAGTAAAAGCGGAAGAGTCCGAACGACGGTTCGTGTACTGTACCCTGCATTTTGTCCTTTTCCGTGTGAGCCGTGTCAAATAAATCACACAAGGTGACTCAAGAGATGAACTTGGGGACTGTGGAGCAGCCATCTTGGTGTTTCTAAAGTCCATCTGAGTGGTTTAAATACACAGCTTTCCCCATCCAGTTCTTTCTAAGTCTGAAGCTACCATTTGGCCGTGTGGATTTCTTTTATGATTGCC